TTCTCTCCCCGCTCTCTCTCCACGCCCTCTCTCCCGCCCTCTCTCCCCCTCTCTCCCCCTCTCTCTCCCTCTCCTCTCTCCTCTCTCTCTCGCCCGCCTCTCTCTCACCTCTCTCTCTCGGCTCTCTCTCCCTCTCTCTCTCTCCTCTCTCTCCTCTCTCTCCTCTCTTCTCGTCCCTCTCTCTCCCCTCTCTCTCCACTCCCGTCTCTCTCTCCTCTTCTCCCATCTCTCCCTCTCTCTTCCTCCTTCCCTCTCTCTCTTCCTCTCTCTCCCTCTCTCTCCCTCTCTTCCTCTCTCTCTCTGCGCCCTCTCCTCCTCTCTCTCTCCCTTCTCTCTCCCTCTCTCTCTCCCGTCCTCTCTCTCCCTCTCTCTCTGCCTCTCTCTCTCCTCTCATCTCCCTCTCTCTTCCCTCTCTCTCTCCTCTCTCTCTCCTCTCTCTCTGCGCCTAGACTCTCTTCCCTCTCTCTCCGCTCTCTCTCTCCCCCCTCTCTCTCATCCCCCCTCTCTCTCTCCCCTCTCTCCTACCTTTCTCTCTCCCCCTCTCCTCTCTCCCCTCTCTCTCTCCCCCCTTCTGCTCCTCTCTCTCCCCCTCTCTCTCTTCCCCCTCTCTCTCGTCCCTCTCTCCCTCTTCTTCCCCTCTTCCTCTCCCCTCCTTCTCTCTGCCTCCATCGTCTCCCTCTCCTCTCTCGCTCCTCTCTCCCTCTCTCTCTCTATCTCTCCTCCCACTCACTCTCTCTCTCCTTCCGATCTTCTCCCCCTTCTCCTCTCTCCAGCCCTCTCTCTCCCATCTCCTCTCTTCTCTCTCTCTCTCCTCTCGTCTCGGAAGAGAGAGGGCTCTCTCTCTCATCGACTCGCCTCTACTCCGTCACCTCAGATCTCGTCGGATGGGATCCTCAAATCAATGCCTCTCACCTCTCTCAGAGGGGCGAGAGAGATCCGGGAGTATATCAGAGACACCGCGTCTCTCTCCCTCTCTCAGGTGCGAGAACGAGGGAGGAGAGAGGGAGAGTGTCAGAGGAGCCTACTCGGGAGGAGAGAGAGGGAGAGAGACCTCTATACGTCAGAGGGACGCGTCCACGACGGCAGAGGAGAGAGGAGGTAAAGCAGAGGTAGACGAAGAGGAAGTCGGTGCGTTCTCGCGGCGTCCCTCGCGCGGCCGGAGAAGAGACGTCGGAGTAGAGAGAGTGGACAGGAGGAGAGGGCGTAGGCGAGAGACAATTCACGAGCGAGCAGGCGAGAACGCGACTCAAGTAGTCTGGGTCGTCTAATCTCGGGACGTATCCTCTCTGAGCAGAATCTCGCATTCCAGGCAATCGGTCGAGCCTCGGTCTTCAGGTCTCTCAGCTGTGAGAGAAGAGGGGAGAAGGAAGGCGCAGAGTGACGCAGAGGGCCCCGTCATCTCACAGTCATAAACGCACCGCTCCCTGGTCCACCCTCCGTCTCAGTTCTATCCGTCGTCCTCGCCTATCTCCTCCCGTATAAGACATCGCTCCGAGAGAGAAGGGTCAGAGCGACGTCAGTAAGAAGAGAGAGACGAGAGATGGCAGAGCAGAAGTCAGGGAAGAATCGATGCAGGTCGAGTGAGGGCAGTGCGTCACCTGGGGCGCGCAAAGATAGCAGCAGTCACGAGAGGTCCAGAGAAAAGGTCGTAGTAAGATGAGCCAAGTCGTAGCGACTAGGATCTCGGAGATCGTGCGGCCTCTCCGGAGGAACATGATGAGAGAGATCGACTCTCTCGCGCGGAATCGGAAGCGTCTACGAGAGGAGGTCTCGAGCGTATCACTCCGCTCTGCAGGGGGCCATCATCTCTGACTCTTCACCATCTGTAGAAGGGGAGAGTCCCCCACAGGGGGGGGGTGTGCGCGGGTCGTTGTACTGATCCTCGAGTGCTCGAAAGTTAACCGGATAATCTCGTCCATCAATCGGTGATTCTCTCAAGAGAAATGCCCCTCAACATAGGTGGTGCTGGAGAAGAGTGGCCGCCGGCCCGCAGTACTCAGAGAGAAACACGGGATCGCGTCACTAGCTCAAAATCAGAGACTCAAAGCTCTCACAAAACAATCTCGTCAACTCAACCACAGGAGGACCCGAGCAGGGCCGAGACCCGGCTCATTGGGGGAATTACCCTCCCGTCTATCGCTGCGAGAGAGACGAGCCCATCTCGAGGTCGGTCCGACTTCCGTGCGGGAGAGAGAGGGGGGAGAGAGAGGGAGAGAGATGGAGAGAGATGGAGAGAGAGAGGGAGAGAGAGGGAGAGAGAGAGAGGGATAGAGAGAAAATAAGTAGGCGAGGAGAAAGAGGAGGAGGAAGAAAGAATGGTGTACTTATCCGGCATTCGCCTGGTGATGATCGGAAAAACAACGGAAAAGTACTAATCAGAGCACCAGGCAGCTAGAGTTATCTTCAACGGATGAATTCGGCTTCGCTATTTAACTGATTAATTGATTACTAGCGATTCTGAAAGAATCAACTTCATTCATTTGTCCCGTAAGTGTGGTGTGTGTTTCTTGCGTGTAGTGGAGGTGACGGTGATCTTTCACTGAGAGATGGTGAGATCCGGAGCCTACCTACAGTCAGCTAGCGGGGTTTACCCCAACCAGGCATCTCCCACCAGAGGGTTTTCGGGCAAGTGTGATAGCCTGAGTGTATGAAAATGTACGTATGTGTAAGAGTTGAGGACAGGACAAGGAAGATATGCGTGATCTGGGCTGTCCAAGCGACGCCGCGTCGAAGGCTGTGTTGCCGTTGTTTCGACCATCTTGTCGTGGTCTTCCTCAGGGCTGGTATGCGCCGTGATGGTCAGCGCTCGGGTGTATATTAAAGTCTAGGCCGTGTACTATTGGCGTATGACTTTGCCCGCGGAAGCCTACGACTTCAGGACAAGGAAGAGGAAGGAAAGATCGCGCGCGGTCCGTGGCCCATTTATTAGGGTACCACTCCGGCATTCGCGTACTGGTGATCGGAGAAACCACGAAAAACTACCGATCAAAGCAACTGGCTAATAGAATTCTTCTCCACGCAACGGCTGAATTGTAACGTGCTAGAGTCTAAAATCTTTCGTCCCGTAATATTATATATCATTACACTTATGGGAC